TTTCTTATTAGCTTTCGTGTACAATACTAGTTATATGTTTGACAAACAATATCAGAAAGAGATCAGCTAAAAGAATAAGAATAAAACGAAGGTATAAGAGTATAACTAGATATGAATATATTTAAAAAAATTTAAGAATATTTACATCAGTGATCCTTCTACGTTCCATCTCTCCTGAGATCATTAACCAGTTGCGGGCTTCCCTTATTCTACGTCCCTATTCTCATATAGGCTGAGGAGCGCTGGATATTGCCTGCGAAAGTGCGATTCGAAGTATCAGTGGCAGAACGGGATCTATCGAAACACAGCTGTGTTTCGACAAGCTTTGAAACATCAACTCGACATACCCTTGCTTTTAAGTCGCTGTTTCGCCAAACCGAGCGATCACAACCGCGATGGCTTGTAAGCTAATCAAGATGTGAGAAAGTAGATTCGAAAAAAGTCTCCTGGCAAAGTAAGAAGGCAACATGAGCTTCCAAGTGGCAGATTAAGAGTCAAATGACTGGAGTAAACAGACTACTCTGAGCTGTTGCATCTAGGAATTCAGGGCCTTAGAAACCTTTTCAGTAGTCCCGGTATGCCGCCAAACGCAACTAGCTTCAGGAGTTGCATTTTCTATAAAAGACAACTACTTAGTTCGTGGCTTAGGTCCTCCTTTCATGTTGCTTTACGGAATTCAGTCATTAACGCTTTGGTTGGCATCATCGCCCGCTGATAGCTGATGCAAACAGCTACATAATATGCCAACCGCTAAAAGTGTATTTATACGATTCGTTACTGTTTTGCTGAACAGAGGATGATGGCTCATTCGGTAATTCATTAACAACTTAAAATAATAATAACCTTTAGGTTCTTTCCGTATTCATGACACAATGGCACCGGAATGTACGCAGATTAAAACGTCTTAATGCTCAAAATTAACATAGGCTTGGAAAGATATAGACGCTCGTTGTCTAGTTTGAATTGCAGCCATGTCTCTTCGTTTCCTAATCCATGTTTCAAGCCAGCAGTTTATAAGGACTACTCTCGCCTTGAAACTTTAGCCTTGAACAATAGATCAGGAAATGAACATATATAATAAAAGTTGAAAATAGCATCAAAAGGGGGCTATTTAGACGCAACACAAGCGATTTGATCGACTGGATGACTGACCTGTATTATCGAGGTTTTGGTCTGTGTCTTATGGGATTTCATCAAGGTGGAGAGGTACGTTGGCCTCAGAAGTGCCGCTTGCCTATCCTTAGGTTATTATTCAACAAGCAAAGAACGTAACCGCGCTCATGTGTCAAACCACGCTCATGTGTCTATATTTTAAATTTTTACCGCTAACTTTATCGACAGCTTTCAGCAGATCTTTCAGAAGCCAGGTTTTTTCCACACCAAGGTCAGGCAAGAACAAATAGATGCGGCCGTCGGCTGAAGTAAAGGCGTTGACGTAGCTCCGCAAATCGATAGATCCCGCAACGGCGGTCTGAAAAGAAAAAACTTTTTAACACAATTGCACAAGCATTCAAGTCCACATGTTGTCACAACGCCTCTGAACCTCAAGTGTGGCGTGTTGGCACAGTGTCTAAGAGGTCTGCTTCGAACCAGACAGGCGTTGGATTCGATTGCGCTCGAGAGCAATCTTTTCTTATTCACGAATTCCCTTGATTAAGGAATTTATCACACACTGCTTCAGACGGGGGTTGCTGGGTCGGCAGAACATCGAACTCAACTGACTAATCCCGAGTTCAAGTTCTGATCAGGGTCATTCGCCTACCTTCTTTCCGAGATTGATAAATCAGTACCGTTATGTGGGAAGGAAACGGGAGACTGTATAATACCTTTGCCACATGACTGTGAACTTAGGATTTAAAGTAAAGCACTCCTGGTTGACGGTATAGAATGGAGTTCAGTGCCGTACCATCAATTTTATGGACAGAAGGGCAACGAAATGGTCCAGTAATGAAAGCGAAGGAAAACCCCCATTCCAACGGTGAGAAACTTTCATCTTTTCATTTTCCTTGACCTCGGGTACAAACATAAAATTCTGCTTTTCAGAGCATCGTTGCACGGTGTTATGTGTTCAATAAGCTAAACTACATTGACAAAAACTGGAGAACAAAGTCGATGAATGACGTGAATCATGGTCGAAAAGTCAAGCTTTTCTGTCTGTCTGTGATTGACAAACCTTTCAACCTTCGTAATGGCAATTCACTTCAACCTACTTCCATCGTAATGCATCACTTGGATCATCAGGGGTGAAAGATGACACCCTAAAGATGACCGCAATGACGTAATGTCAAGACACAACATGAACATTATTGTGAACAACTTGACTATGGTGCTGATCACAGGTTTTTCAAGCCAGGTGCATGAAATTTCGTTGAAGTTAAAATAAGAACCTCATGGAAAATTTGAAAAAATTCAATTTGGACTATATCACAAACGGGTTAAGCACTAAACATAGATCTCCTCTTCCATGACTCGGACATCAGGTAGTTCAAAAAGACAAGACGTCAGACGTTCGATGTTTTAATAACGGAACTATTGACTTCAGAATGAGTTCATCTTTTAATGATCTGTCAGACACGTGAATAGCTTATATAGATAATCCTAGGGATATACAGACTTAATGAGATTCTCGATTCATATAGGCTTACAACTCGAAGGATATTGGAGTGTACTAAAAAATATCATGAAAATGCGATCAGCTATCGCGGAGTCAACGACCTTTGCCGTAATAATGGTAATTTTCTGCTTTCTCTTAAATATGTTGTTTTTAAAATCGGCTGTTGCCTGCTGTCAAATGGCTGGTTTGACAGACTTCATTGACACCATGGATCGCTGTTTTTCACTTTTCGATCAATAGCACTGTCCCCCCTCCTCCCGACCGAATACAGCTGGAGGTGACTTGAGGTAGTAAGTGTAAATGCAGAGAATTCCGACACATCTGACAGCTTCCAGGACAGCATCTTGAATATCAGTTGCACCACCATCGATGCTTTGTAGTCGGAAGTCAGGAATAGTAAATTCCATGATCTTGTTTTCACGATCA